TCTGGGTGTGTGTATTCTCAGTATACCCCAAAATATGCATCACTTGCCTGGGCGCAGGGAAGGCTTTCATGCACGGAATCCCAAGGCTAAGCCAGAAGCCACCCATGTATGAGAGCTTCTTACATGCCAGAATGGGGGTTTGGGGCGCAGTATCCTGCATTGCCACTCCACTCCCGGTGCCTCCGTTGCTTCTGCAGGACCTCTGAAGGCGTTTCAGGAGCAGCCCCAGAAAAGGGCAGAAATGCCTGTCTCTGGAGCAGGAGGGAGCGCCCCACTGACTGGCCCCATTCTGGAAGGAAGCCTTCGGAGCTTGTTCGGGGTTCCTTAGCCTTGGCTTCCTCCTGCACCAGCAGTGGATGCTGCCCATTTTCTGTACCTGCGATATTGAAGTGCTTGATACCCCCAGAGTAAAACAAATGAGTAGCTGAGATAAGCATGGCCCATTTAAGCATGGTTATAAAATTAATTCAAGTTTAAGGGTAAGCACTCACCTCCACCCAGTGATGCATTGAAGAAGGCATTTCTAGGTGAATTCTGCAGTGTGCACAGAATAGGGATGCCAGTGGTGGGGTTGCCTCTGCTGGCAAGGCTCATGTTCTGCAAGCCATCTTGTAATGAAGAAGTTATAATGGTTAACGTTTCTATTATATTTTGTTTTGATATATTGTCTTTGTAGTTGGATTGTATGGTTGATGTGTTTTGGATATGCTGTTTTAATGTTATTGATTTTAAGATGGTGTGTTTTTTAATATTGTGAGCCATGCAGAAAGCCCAGATATGGACTACTGTAGGAGCATATAAATCCGTTAAATAGATAAATGAATGAATAAATTGCTAATCCGGTACAGAGGTTGTCTTAAAGAGTATTCCAGGGTGGTTATGATGTGTCCTCAGGGGGACAAGTGCACCATCCTGATTCCCAGCTCTGAGCAGGTAGAACTCTGTTGGAGGACCAGAGAAAGCACAGGCTGTTACATGGTCAGCAAGGTAGACTCAAAAAGGAGCCGAGAGGCTATGGATGGAAAACCCTTCCCAGTGGTGACCTGCAAGGTCTGTGCAATGTTTGCTTTCCTGCCTGGCATCAACAGGGGCTCCATGTGCAACTAGAGCAAGCTAATAGCCAGGGAGGAGGAAAAGGTGAGCACAACGGATCCACCACACATGGACTCCTGGGAAGAGATGGGCTGGAAGTTTATCAAGAGGGTTTTAAAAGAATCCAACAGGAGATGGAGGAATACATCTGGGGGAAACAGCAGACAAAGTCGTGTGCACATCAACGGGTTTAAGCTCCAATAGTAGTTTTCCAAAAATGTGGAAAGAAAGCTAGAGTATGACGCATGTGGTCTTTCATGTCTATGCACTAATGCCTGGAGTATGGGAAACGAACAGCGCAAACTTGGACTCTTAAGATAGGAGGGCGAGTAGGACCTGATGGGAGATCTTGGTGAGATGACTGGCACAGCTGGAATCCAACAACTGAAGGATATAACCAGTTCAAAAGGACAGAAGGGGACGGAGCCACACTATATGTTAAAAATTCCTATCTCCGCACAGAAATACAGGAGGGTGTGTTTAGTACCCCCGTCACGAGCATCGGGATTAATATAAATGGAGCAGGGCACAAAAGCTACTCAGTGGTTGGAGTCTGTTACTGACCACCAGTCAAGGAGATGACGCAGATAAAAAAGCAAATTGCAAATGTTTCAAGGAGGAATGTTGTCATTATGCAGGACTTCAATTTCCCTGATACCTGTTGGGAGACACATTCTGCCAAAAAGGCCCCTACAAGAAATTCCTAATATGTGTTGCTCTCAATGAAAGTGTCTCCCAACAATTCCTCTCAATGAAAGTGGAACGGCTGTCCTTGACTGGATTCTAACCGATCTGGGAAACCAAGTGGACAAAGTGGCAGTTACTTTGCCACTGGGGGAAAGTGACCGTGTCATACTTGAATTTTTGTTTTAAAGGAAGCAAGAGCCAAGCGTAGGCCAACAGTTATCCTGAATTTTACAAAAGCCAATTTTAATTGAATCAGAACACTGATATATCTTACCGTAAGCAACTCTGATGAGAAAAGAAGCCTAAGAAGCATGTGGGGCATTTAAAAGGGAAATTCTTAAAGTACAATTATGCACAATGCTAATGAGGAGAAAGGATAGGAGACAACAGAAGAAGCCAATCTGGCTTCACAGAAATAGCTAGAAATGATCTGAAAACAAACAAAGAAAAATGATACATATAGGAAGTAGAAGGAAGGCAAACCTTCAAAGGAAGAATACAGACTAATAATGTGGAATTGCAGGAAGTCAAAGCTCCATGCTAAAGCCAGGAATGGATTGAGGCTAGCCAGGGATGCAAAAAGCAACAAAGACGCCTTCTTCATAATAAGATATAGAGGAAAGGAAGGGTGGCTCAGCTACTCAGTGTGGATGGCAAAATGAGAACAGCTGAGAAAGAAGCAGAAGTGCTCAGTTCTCACTTTGGCTCAGTCTTCCCCCAGAAAAAGATCTACATCCCCCCAGGTGAGGGGAAAAAGGAAGAGCTTGGGGACTACAGACCAATCAGCCTGACATCAATCAGCCCTGGGAAAATTCTGGAGCACATTATAAAGCAGTCAGTCTGCAAACACCTTGAAAAAAAATGCAGTGATTACCGGATGCCAGCACGAATTTGTCAAGAATAAATCCTGTCAGACTAATCTGACCTCAGTTTTTGATTGGCTCTCATCCTCAGTTGACTGTGGGGATGCTGTGGACATAATCTATCTGGACTTCAGCACAAGTTTGAGTAAATGCTTTTTGATATCCACACTAGCAATCCAGCTCTGAGTGGGATAAATTGAACAACTGCGAGGTGGATCCGGAACCGGCTACAGAATTGGACTCGAAGGGCACCATCAGTGGCACTTCTCCAACTGGGGAGAGGTAACAGGTGGGGTACAAAAGCATTCCATCCGGGACCCGGAGCTCTTCGACATTTCCATGAATGACTTGGATGAGGAAGTTCAAGGAGCACTTATCAGATTTGCAGGAGATACCAAATGGTGTGAGATGGCTAATATTCTGGATGACAGAAACAAAATTCAGAATGAGCTTGATCGTTTGGACCGCTGGCTGAAAATAGCAGAATGAAGTTTAACAGGGACACATTGGGAAAAGAAAGCAAATGCAGAGTTACAAGGTGGAGGATTCTTGGTTCAGCCGGACTAAGAAAGATCATGAAGACCAGAAATTGCATCTGCACGAGCAATGTGATCTTGCTGCAAGTGTCCCACTCACACAGCCGCACAACTTTGCAGTATTTTTTGTTCAACGAGCTTTTAGAGGATACAGAGGTGTAAAAGATGATTGCTGCTTGGGGGTGACAAATTTCCCACCTTTCTTGTTGAGAATTCCCTGAATTCAGAATAAAGGCTGTTCCTGTTGTTTAAACTTCATTTTCAATGTGTCTTTTTTTTTGGGACAGACACACCAAAGAACAACCTTAGCCTCTTGCTTAGACTCGGGCTAAAAATAAGGCCTTATGAAGGAGATTGAAAGAATCAGGCAAGTTTGGCCTTAAGAAGAGAAGGAGGGAGATCTTAGATCACTTTTCAAGTATGTAAACAGTTGTCAAGTTACAGGAGGCCAGATTCCAGCTGAACATCAGGAGGAACTTCCTGTCTCTCAGCACAATGCAACAATGGAGCCAATTAGCTGGTGGGGGGATCATGGTCTCCCCCACACTAGAGGTGTTGGCTTGGAGTCCTGCATTGACCAGGGGACTGACACAACGGCCTCATAGGCTCCTCCATCTCTGCTATTCTATGATCCCTGATTTTTTTCTCCTTTTCTTCTTTCTGGTATGCATTACGTATGACTCTTTCTTCTGCTATCCCTTGTCTCTTGACAGTACGATGATGTGGAACAGTTTTGAGAACTTCACTAGAAGTTCTGCATTTCTTTCTTTCAAGCCATGTCATTGTACGCTTTGTTTCCACAGCTGTATCAAAGCCTTCCAACCCTCATGAAACACATGCCTGGACCTCATCAGACTGTTTTCAAAAACTGGGGACTTTTAAAATCCTTTGTGAGAGAAATAATTGACAAGCACAAAGAAGACTGGAACCCTCGTGAAACAAGAGATTTCATTGATGCTTATTTGAATGAAATGGCCAAGGTAATTGATCAGCTGAAAGGAGGGAAAGAGAGGACTGCCTCTCCCCACAGGCCTAAATGCCGGAAGGGGGCTAGACTCTCTCTTCTCTCCTCTGCGATATGCAAAAGTAAATCACTAACATGACTAATCATAATATTTTTTTAAAGATTGCTTGGGAGGCATCACATGATCTCCTAATATTCCTGCCCATGTGGATCCCATTTTCCTAACTTTGGAATCCAGGGCAGAAATAATGGGGAGCCTTTCCTTTCCCTTTCTTTGCGCTTAATCCCAGCTTCAGAGATTCCAGTGAATTTTGGATTGATGGTATGAGGTCCTGAATGCAGATGTCGACCCATCTGACAGCAAGGGCTGATGTTTTCCTGAAAGGCTAACTGCTTCCTCATTCTCATTTCCTCAGGAAGATGTTACTCCTAGTTTCCATGAAGAAAACCTGCTACATTCCGTACTGGATCTTTTTGGAGCTGGAACAGAGACGACTTCCACAACGCTCCGCTGGGCTCTGCTGTACATGGCCCTTCACCCAGACATCCAAGGTAGGGCTGTGCGCGTGTCTTTGCACTGCTCCCTTATGATGATCGCTGCTCTGCACCTTGCTTGGTGAAGCCATTCTTTCCCCTATTTTGCTGGCAAATACGTCATTTCAAAACAGTTTGCAAAAATCTGTTTTGAGAACAGAACTTGTTCCAGGACAGTGAAACCCTGCGTGGTGAGCTGCCTCAGTCAGGATGCGACCTGAAGTGCTACCAAGGGCACCATGAGCTCTTTCACATCCCCAAGGCAAGGCAAAATGTGAAAGGCGGTGTGTGCAATCTGTAAAGGGCTAGTGCAGGAAATACAATCATAGGCAGACTTCCAAAAATGTCCTCAAACTTTTGCGCAGTGCGGTCAAGCCACAATAAGCCACTTCCTCTTGCAAGTGTCTGGAGCTTTTGCCTGCATGCTTGGCTTAGTCTCCTGCAGGTGCATTTAAAGTGCAGGTTAAAGAAAAGGAACTCACATAGCGGTAAAGGAGCTCACAACTTCCTGTGCAGGGAAATCAAGAACAGGAGAAGTACTTCCTGGACAAATTACAGGAGGTACAAAGACACTTTCATGGATACCTTTTAACACCTTTTGTCGATTTCTCCTTGTTAAATTTCAAGGAACACCTGATTTGCTCAAATGCTACAATTTTATTTTGCCATTCTTACACTTCCTTTCCTGAAGTTCATTTCTATTTCCCGTTTCATATCTGTTTCACTTTTTGTAGTGCTGAAGTTCTTTTCTCATTGTCTGGAGGACAGGAGTATCTAATCAGGATTTTGAGGAGTACGAACCATCCCTAAAGATGGCTTTTTTCCCAGTTGAAAATGTTCTGAGTGTCAGAGAGAGAATTAGGCAGAGGTAGCTGTCAGAAGCTGTGGTTGGTGGTCCCTGCATGGACCTGCCCCACCACAGACGTCATCACAGGAATGCTTGGACTGACACAGAGAGCCGCTCCTTCTTCCACGCCATGCACGTCGGGCGTGCGTGGGATGCGCTCTGCTCAGTGCTCGGGCACGGCCCCTGGTGCCGGCCCTGGTGGATTCGAGGAGGCTTCCTTGCCTGATAGCTGCGAAGAGGAGACTCGGAGGGGACCTGTTGGCGACATGCAGGTATGTGAGGGGATGTCGCATGGAGGTGGGCAGAGGCCTGTTCTCCCCTGCAGAGGAATGCAGGGCGCGCTCCAACGGAGCAATGCTCAGGGAGCCAAGGTTCCATTTCTGACTCACTCTGTTTCTCTGTTTCTATGTTTGTTTCCTACCTTCTCTGGATGTTTATTCTGCAGCTAGAGTCCAAGAAGAAATCGATTCCGTGATTGGGCAGTCGCGACTTCCAGCACTGGAGGACCGGGATCGCATGCCCTACACCAACGCGGTCATTCACGAAGTCCAGAGGTTCAGCAACATCGTGCCTCTAAATGTGCCCCGCGTGGCCACGAAGGACACGACCCTGGCTGGGTTTTTCCTGCCCAAAGTAAGCCTAAAGGAAACGGCTCGAATCCTTGCAATGTAATGGAATGAGCATGGGCCATCCCTAGGACCACATTTCAAGGGAGTCAGTTAATACTGGGGGTGGGGGGGAACCCTTCTCTCTACTGTGGCTTGACTTGCATGAATTGTCTGGAGCTTCTGCCCTCCAAGAGGTTCTTGGCGAGTATTTTCCCCTGGACTGGGGGCTCTCGGGTCCTTCCAACTCCTCCGTGAACCTGGATGCCCATTGCATTCTCTATGATGTTCTTGAAACCTGTCAGTATGCTGGGCATCCAGTCCTAGCTAGGAAGCAGCCCCACATTTTGAAAATGTATTAAGATGTCTAAAAGAGGATCTGTGTCTAGTCACCTCAATCCAAGGATTACTATGTAAGAGAAAGATAATCTCCAGGCCAAAAATGATCTGTGTGTCTGTAGGTACAGTGGAGGGTTAAAGCATTCTCAGTGTACTGATGAGTGCATTGAGCAGTTCCCTGACGTTTCCGTCCATTTTCTTCTCTATATCTTCTTCAACAGGGAACTGTTTTGTTGTCCAACCTGACCTCAGTGCTGCATGACAAGGATGAATGGGAAACCCCTGATGTGTTCAATCCCGGCCATTTCCTTGAGAACGGCCAGTTCAGGAAAAGGGAAGCGTTCATCCCATTCTCTACAGGTGAATTTTGATAATGCCGATGATAAGAGTGGAAGAACTGCTCATAACTATCACCTAAAGCAGTGCTTATTTGGCTGCCCAAGGAAAGAAGGGTCTGGAGGAGGGCAACAAGGATGATCTGGGGCCTGGATTCTGCCGAATATGGAGCAATTAGAATTTATTCCAACTTCCTGCCTTCTGTTCTTTAACTAGTTACTGATCCATAAGAGGATCTCCCCCTCACCCATTTGTTTTTAGTTATATAACTGATTTGCTGGCTCAGGGTCTTTGTCAAAGTCCTTTCAAAACTCTAACAGGTTAGTAACACAGGACTTTCCCTTGAGGAAGCCCTGCTGATTTTTTCCCAGCAGGTCTTGTCCCTCTGTGTGCTTACTAATACTTTCTTTACTGACACGTTCAAGCTATAGACCCAGAACAGACATTAACCTAACTGGCTGGTGATCCAGCCCCTGATCCCTTCTTTAAAAATGCAAGTTTCCCCAACTCTTACGGAGTTTCTTCTGCTATGGGACCAAAATGCTTTCTGCTCATATTTAAGGCATGTTTCTATTTGGGTGCAGCATCTTAGGCTGAAGGGCTAAATGCCTGTTCCACAGATAGTCATGCCTACGAAAGTGTGAGCAATCTGTTCAGGGGCGGGAATCTCTTGGATTGCCTGGGCTTGGCTCCCCAGACTCCAGCCCACTTTGCCACAGCCCTGAGCTCAGCACTCCCAGGGTGCTCTGCTGGAATCGAGCCCCACACACGGCACAAGCAGCACCCATCTTCCACACCCAGCACTGCGGCTGTCGGTTCCACCACACAGGGAAGTAGGTTGGCTGACTGGAATTCAACCCAGAATGCCCAGTCACGGCACTCCCATTTTGTGTTCTGTGGCCGTTTTTGGGTGCCCGAACCTGATGTGGAGGGTGCTGGTTGCACAGCCCATGCCTGAAGACTTCCTTTTGGCTCGGCTCGCTTTGCAGGATTGGGCCAAGCAGGGGAGGAAGTCCCCTGCTGCTGGAGGGGTGGATCCTGCCTGGGTTGTCTCAATCCAAGCTGTTCCCGGATTGACATCCAGAACTTATGCGGTGCTTTCCCAGCACTTGGAGGGTTACAGGACTTGCTCTTGGCAAGAATAACCACCACTGAGAACATGCTGGCCCTCGGGGCGTTTTGGCCCACCCCTTTTGCCCTCATCCCACCCAGCACTGGGCTGCAGCGCCCAAAAGCAGCTCTGAATTGCAGTCTGGCTCTCTGGTGCAGCAAGGTCTGACACCACAGTGACAGAGGGCTCGGCGAAGCTGCTTGGTGGCTGGAGCAGCTTCGATGTGCCCGGTTCATAGCGAGTGCTGGTGGACGGGAGGCACCTTGCCGTTTTCTTCCTTCCCTCCTGCTGCTCCCAAGCAGATTTGCGGGAGACACCCAGAGCTGCTGGGACTGGAGCCATCCGAAGGCTGGCCTCCTTGCCTCCTTCTTCCAGGGTCAGAAGGGTGCAACCCTGGAGTTATCTGGATCCAACCCCGTTCCCCAGACGCTTTAAATCTGATTTGCTGTGGAAAGCATTGTTCCCCCTCTCCAGCCACTGTGTTGTCCTCTCTCCTAGGGAAGCGATCGTGTCTCGGAGAGCTGCTGGCCAGGACGGAGCTTTTCCTTTTCTTCACTGCTCTGATCCAGAAGTTCACTTTCCAGGCTCCAGAGAACGTGACTTTAACCCTCGACTTCCGGATGGGCTTCACATTGGCTCCTCAGCCTTACAAGATACTCGCATTGTCTCGCTGATGGAAGCCATGTGATCCTTTGTTAGCTGTCAGTATTTTCTCCCCTTCTGTTCTTGGGGGCCATTGAGGAACCCATGCCAGGCATGGTCCTGTGTTATGCTTTGCCTCATTGCTATGCCTGGATGGGGAATGGTTATGCGTGTTTAACTTCATGGGACTGGGGGTTGGGGAAGAGTCCATATTTCCCTGGCAGGTATTTTGTCTTCATCATTCTCCCGGAGGCATAGAGCCATGCCAAACTGCTGTGAAAGAGCAACTTTGGGCCAGTGAAAGGCCCGATTTTTCCGGTCCGTCACAACAGGGATACTCAATACTGAGATGCTCATGCAGGGGAGTTCTGTCTTCCTGCACCAAGCTCAGTTCAGCACAAGCTCAGTCCTGCTCAAGATAGTTGAGTCTAAGCCCTGTTGAACCTAGTTTCCCAGTGCTTTGTAGCATCCTTGCATTGGTAAGTTTTAAAGTTCTTTCCTTTATGCTGGTTTTCATGATTGCTTCATCTGAAAATGATCCTTATTCAAATATCATGCACAAAAACCTCACTGAGAGAGTTTTACCTGTTAAAGCAGTAGATCAGATCATTAAATGCACAAAATGTATATCTTTATCCTATATGAATCCCTTGAAATAGAAGAATGTTTATTTATCTATCTATTTATTTCTACTTGTATGCTGCCCCGTAACCCAAGGGTTCTCTCCACAGGTTACAAAATGCTGAATCAGCTGATAAAAGTACAATCAATAAAATAAGTAAAAACAATAAAATTCATAAAACAGTATACCAAGTGGGAAAATGCTACAAAATCATACTCAGACACAAGCCAATCATAACCAATTATTATAATCAATTCAGTAAATAAGTCAACAACGAAAATATATATGCTGTGAAAGTATATTGTCTGGGTGATCATATGTCAACAAATTACCAGGGTGGTCACATGTCTTTTTACTGAGCACAGCCCTTTATTTAAAGGGCTGCCAAAGAGCTTTCCTCTATTTTCAGGGGTTCTTTATCTGAGTCTGTTTAAAGATAATGAACCCTAAGAACTGTGGCCTCCTGTGTGAGGTCATCGGAGCTCACCGCCTTCCACTCAGGGTCCAGCAAGTAGATAAGGGAAAAGCAAACAACCCGGACGGGATGAAGGATGGAGAGGCCTCAGAGGGAGGTGCTTCGGCTGCAGCTGGGGAAATCCGATGCATTGCTGCGGTGTGGCTTGAACTCCGTGAGGAACACCTGGGGGAGAGTGTTGGAAAGACAACACAGGAGAGGAGGCACAGAGGAGGCCAAAGAGGTGTTAGGGAAGAATGTGGAAAAGAAGAGGGCAAGAAGCCTAGGGAGGGGTGGGTCAGTGGTGTGGCTTCTAGCCGCAGAGGGTGAGGAGGTGAAAGCTGGGGCTCATTGGGTATCTCAAGGGTGACGAAGAGGCACAGGGCTCCAGGCTGAAGGAGCTGGCCGTGGCTTCACAAGGGAGTGACTGCTGAGTCAGGACAGTCCCTTGCCCAGGGAGGTTTCTGAAGCAATCACAAGAGCTGCTTCAGAGCCAAGAGGAGCATTTGCCAGTGCTCCCAGCACAAGTGAAACACGAACAGTGGGGAAAGAGGGAAGCCCCTCTGGGAACCGAGAGGCTGCAAGGGGAATGCCAGAGAGGTGTCACTCTTTGCCCTAGGCTGAACCAAAGGACTGTGCATGTTTGTCTTTCCTGATAAGGACAGTGAGCAGTCTTCTTTGGGTGTTAATTTCTGACAAGGAGCTGATTCCCCAATAAACCAAAGTATTGACAGAACAAGAGTGGTCCTTGGATAATGTTCTACCCAGCAGGGGAGTTTTGGTGTCCCTCTCGCGTCACCAAATCCTACTCCTACAGTTAGCCCTTGAGCAATAACATAACCAGGTGGGCACACAGGCCAGGGCCTTCCTCACTAGAGAGAGGTGAATTACTTTTCCATTTACATTGCAATCCCTATTTCTACGCAGGCATCTCTACATTTAAACAGGCATGTGTCATCTCATGCTAATCACTGTCCTCCACTTTGGTGGTTCATAAACTGCCACCGAACTGCACGGGAGCAATGGACTGAAGGGCAGGGGGCAGGGCGACCTTCCGGGAACTGGACGCTGCCGTCCCACCTTGTCCCCAGGTGTCTGCTGTGTGTCCCCCTCAGCCTGTGTTGCCACACTCTCACCTGCATGCGTACCCAGCTGGGTCCGGGCTGAGCCCCAAGGAACAGGGACACTTGTGGGGGGGGGGGGGTTGTTGCATTTCATTTCTGCCTGACTCACAATTCTCTCATCACTTCCTCACCAGGTAAACAAACAAGGGAATGCATCATTACAAACTGCAGTTTTGAGAGACACTTGAGCATATCTTGGAGAGGAAGTCGGTAGACAAGACCACCTGAAGTCCTCTTTAAAGAAGACCATTGTGCCACAATTCTCCCCCTTGAAAGCATCCTGCATCCCTTCCTCTCAGGAATCCTGAAAGCGACTTTGTAATAATGTCAGCAAGCCCGTATGCCTCCTGGGATTCTGATGGGTGACCTGAAGCCATCTCTCTAGTGGGTTTGTGGTCAAGTTAGCTGCAAACAAGGGATTTCCTGTCTGCTGCCACAGACTAAGTCACAGACTCTCAGCCCAAGCTACCTAGCAGAGGGGTTACTGTGAGGATAACCTTTAGAGGAGGAGGAAAATCTTGTAAGCCCCCTGAGCTCCCTGAAAGGGGAAAGGCAGGAGGCAACTGCTGGTACTTCCAAGAGCAAGATGCCTATGAGCAGCGTCTCCCCTGGCCCTTGGACCGAGGGAGGCCAGGATGCAATGTGATGCGATGCAACTGGACTGCACTGGGGTGGGGTATGTGGCTCTGTTTCTGAGCATTGTTGCACAGGGGGCGAGCAGGGCAGAAGTTCTGGTTCCTCAGCAGCAGGACAGAGCTCCTGCAGCAGACCATACTTCGGAAATATGGAAGGACAAAGAAGGTCCTCTCCAGTGGGTAGTAGTGCTGCTTCTAGTGCATCACATTTCAGAGCGATGCTTTAAATCAGCTTGGAGAATTGGAAAAGATTATCTTGATCAGCTTGGAAGGAGAAGGGAGTTGGGTGTTGAGGCCGGATCTCGGCAGCTTGATCCCAAAGGTTTTTCTCTGGGGAACTGGAAAAGAGCTTTTCATGCCAGATATGGCACATGGGAATATGTGATAATGCCCTTTGGCTTGATAGAAACCAATCTCTCCATCTTCATGCATTTTTATGAAGTTTATGGTTTAGGGCATGGCTCCTCAAACTAAGGCCCGCGGGCCAGATCCGGCCCGCCATGCTCTTTTAACTGGCCCGTGCCACACGGTTTGCACTTGCTGGGCACGCATACGGCTTGCTCGCAAGGCGGTCATTTTGGACTTGCTCGGAGAAAAAGATCTCCTCGCAAGCAAGCCAGCACCTTGCCCCGCGTGCCCCCCCCCCGTCCTCCCCTCCCCTTGCCTGCCCGTGCACACCCCCTGCCCCCCCCCCACCCCCCCCCCCCCCCCCCGGTCAGCCACCACTGGCATCTGTCAACTGGCCTCCCATTCAACAAGTTTGAGGACCCCTGGTTTAGGGCCTGGCTATCTGAAGAAGCGTCTCTTTCCTGTTCCCCAGAGAAGTGTGTCTGGCATCAACGCTTTACTCATTTTGGTAACAGGCCAAATGGCATTTTAATGGCTACCCATCTTGAGACCTGCCAGTACAGATGGCTTATAAATGCTTTAAATGAATGAATGGAGGCAGGAAGAGATGGGGAGGTAAAAAAGCGAGTGGAGAGAAACAGGAAGGCACAAGGCTAGGGAGAGAAGGAGGGAGACGGAGGGACAGCTGGAAGAGGAAAAGCAAGGCCAGGGCCAGGAAATAAGAGGACGATGAAGGCCAGGGATGGGGAAGGGGCAGAAACAGTGAGGAGAAGGGCAGGGAGGGGAGAGGTGGAGAGCGAAGCGGCGGAAGACTGGCTGGGGCCAGGAAGCAACTTTCTCCAGACCTTCCTGCCTGCAGAGCAGCTGATCAGCAGCAGGTTCAGCAACAAGAAGGAGAACCTGGTGCCCCAACATTTCCAGTTCTAAGAAAATTAAACCACAGTTTTGAAAGGGAGAGAGCTTGCAAAGACCGTGCTAGGGCCCCCTGCTCTGGACAGCCTTCCCCACCCTGGTGACCCCTGGATGAGTTAGACCACAGTCTCCATCATCCCCAGGCAGCCTGGCAGGTGACTTGCTGGCAGTGAATAGTGGGAAGCATCCCTGCTGGCACCATTTTCCTTGCCTTAAATCCATCCAATGATTCCACTTCTCTGCAGGATTTGGTGGGGGACACATGAGCTGCCACAGCACCTGAACAAGAGACCAAGGCTCCAGACCCCACCTCTGGTCCAAACAGCTTGAGGAATGGGAGGCCAGGCGCTTGCCAGGCTGGCAGCGCATGGCATGCCAGGGAACGTGCAGGGTATCGATCTTGAAGTTGTGCAGGGTGAGAGCAGGCAGGAGTTCACTGGGCTGCCATTGCCAGCAGGGGGACACGGCAGGGAGCTGCTGGAGGGCAGGATAACCTGCAGTGGGGCTTGCGTGGCACCTCCTTACCAAGCCTCAGGTGCTGTGGAGGGGGCAGCTTTGCCCCCCGTGCTGAAAGGAAATTCAGGCATTTCCGCGCATGGTGTATGGGGTGGAGGGGCAACAATGAGGCCACAAAATGCCTCCTCATTCCCTGCACATTGAGAAAGATGATTTTCTCCTGCTTCTTCTATATTAGGGGGAAAGGTGAGGCAATCTCTGTTCAGTGGGAGTGGCGCGTTGCCCTTTGGCAGGCAGACTTTGTCCTCCTTCATTGCAGCAGATGCAGGAAATATTCTCACAACATCTGCGGAAAGAAAGGCAGAGCTTCTTTTGCTGGGTTCCCTCTACAAAGGGTCTGGCTTGGCCGGCTGCAGAGGGTGAAGATGCTGCGCCACTTACTTTCCACGCTCCAGGAGGGCTTGTCTCTCCCCATGGTTCTGGTGTTCCTGGCTACCTTCCTGCTCCTTGCCGACTACCTGAAAGGGAAGCGTCCCAGGGGGTATCCTCCGGGGCCCAGGCCTCTCCCTTTCCTGGGGAATCTTCTGCATTTTAGTGAGAAGACACCTCTTTCTGATATGCAGAAGGTAAGGACTGAGGCCAGTTGGTGGGGCAATGACTGCAAGGGAACATGTAGAGATACTGTAATTTCCAAAGGATTCAGAAAGGCTGGAAGAGGTTGGGAGGAGGGGACTGGAGGGTTGGTGGTCTGGGACACGAATCCTCCAGGAAAGGTGGGAGGAACTAGGCAGATTTACTCTGAAGAAAAGAAGGCTGAGGGCCAACTGGACAGTGCTCTTCAGATGTTCTCTGCTGCCCCTGATGGAACTAAAAGTCCCAGCCTCACGGGCTTCAGGTGCAGGAGATTAGACTTCAATGGAACTTTAAGGGAAGGTCTTGGCAGCAAGATTGGATTGGAACCATGGATCCAATTACCTGGGGCGGGGAGGTGGGCTCTCCTTGGCGGAGGCTTCAGTAGGGGCTGGGCCCATCTGCTGTGGGACTGGCTCTGTCATTCTGGCACCAAGCTGGGGGCTGATCTAGGCGGCCTGCAAGGCCCCCTTCAGGTCACTGATTCCATGAGGTCCCATGTGTACAGAAGGAGCCCCTTTGAGTCACTCAAAGGCTAGAAACGTGGCTGCTTTGAGCCTCTATGGAGCCTGCTTCCCCCATTCTGTGGTATCCTGAACACCAGACCCCCAAAGTCCATGTCCATGCAAATGTTTCTACTCGGGAGCATTTCCACCACCGTCATATTTCCATGCCATGAGCTATGGTTGTGGCTGCATCAGTTTCTCCTGGAAACACCCCAAAGTCATAGTTCAGAGCCACAACGCATAGCTAGTGGTGACAACCCAGGCTCAGGCTAGATACCAGGAAAAGCTTCCTCTCTGTCAGGGCAATACAGCAGTGGAACCAGCTGCCAGGAGAGGTCAAGTTCTTTCCCACACTAGAGGCACTGAAATAGAAACTGGGCAGTCACCTCAGTGGGATGGTGTGACGTGGTGTCCTGCAACAGCAGGGAGTTCAGGTTCGGGTTCGGACTCTATGATCACACTCCAAGACTACGTGGGTGCAGCAAACATGTGAGTAATGATTAACTTGCAGGCATAAAGAGCTGAATCCAGAGAGGAGTCTGAAGTGTGCAGGCAGGAGCAGAAGGCACCAAGCCCGGCTCTGCCCGTGTGCCCTTCCAGCACCAGAATGGTTGAGCCAGTAGAAATGGTCAAGAAGAAAAAATGCACCCTTCCAGAATCAGCTGGGGGTGCAGTCAAAAGAACATATGCAGGTTATTCACCCATACAGAAAATCACGTGGCATGTAGGGTCCACCAAGATGGGGTCTGTACAAGATGCTGTTTTTGTATGGGGAATCTTGGGGATCAGGTACGCCGCATGCTGGCGGCACATGAGGAGAAAGCAGTAGGGAGTGTCCAAGACACAGAAGAGGAGAGCCTGCAGGAAGGGCAGATGTTAGCTTGCCTAAGGGGTGCCCCCAAGGACCGGCCTTTCAGGACAGGGAAACGAGCATTTCGAAAGGGGTACCTGGGAAGCAAGACTCGCATCCTAATCAGGTCAGGAATCGCATCGTAACACTTCAACTGTTCCTACCCTTCTGGAGGACTGTATTACGGCAAGGCCTTTGCTCCTTTGTCCTGACAAAACCAACCAAATGACAATTATTTTCAGGAATTCATTCCTACCCTTTAAAATACATGGCAAAGAAGTGATATTGATCAATACACCATGGTATCAGCTGGTATTGTGTTAGTGGTTGTTCAAGTAAACAAGAGAAGCACTTCCTTGAAAGTGTCAAGTGCAGGAAAAAGCAGCAGATTCCCCGCCCTATATTCTTTTCCATGCCAGGTGAAAACCTTTTTATTTAAACGCCATTATAAGAATTAGAGTTTTTAGATTTTTAAACTTAACAGTTGCATTTTATTTTATTTCCTTTATTATTTTATCCATTTTTATTTTTTTATTTATTTCCATGATTATGATTTATTCTTTTTTGTTTATTATTGGTTTAATGTTATTCTGTTAGTAATGATTGTATTTATCATGATCTATTTATTGCTATTTATTATATTATTTATTAAAACATTTCTATGCCGCCCCTTGCCGAAGCCTTGGGGTGGCTCACAACACAAAATAAAATACAATAAAATACAAAAATAACAATATAAAATTAACAATATAAAATAAATAACTATTAGGGATCCTATTTTTATTGTTTTGATTTTATTCTCAATGTCTAGAGACATTTGTGAAAAGACGGGATAAAAATGTTTTATTAAATTAAATTAAATGTTTCTCCCCTTCCGCTCGCTGTCCCTCATTCTGGGGGAAAGTTCCAAAGGCCCCAGATGGTAAGGACAGAAGGTGGCCTCATGTGCTTGGAGGGCAGCCATCAGTTTGCCCGACTTCTGGACACAATGACGTGCACCAGTTAGACAGGTGAACCTGGAGTGCATCTGGTCTTGTCTACTTTTCCCACTCCAGCTTAGAGAAAAATATGGCGACGTCCTCAGCCTGCAGCTCGGAAGCATGCAGTTTGTGGTTGTGAGTGGGCTGCCGCTGGTGAAGGAAGTCCTTGTCCATCAGGGTGAAAATTTTGTAGATCGTCCAGAATTGCCTTTTACACGTGAAGTCTTTGGGTCATTAGGTGAGTTTCTTTTCATAAAGTTCCATTTCTTGCTTGCTTGCTTGTTTTTGAAGGGTGTGTGCATGGATTTTGTGATTCTGTGAAACAGCCTCCTCAGCCTCAGGCCTTTGCAATGTGCCAGATTACAACAACTACCTCCCTGGCTGATACGGACTGCCACCTGGGGATGATGTGAGTTATAACCTAACACATCTGGATGCTGTCATGTTCAGAAAATGGGTTTAGATGGTTTCAGAAATTCTCAGTGGATGCTTCTGTTAATGTTGAATAGGACCCAAGCATGTGTTTCCTGCAAAGCTTCTTTTGGTCATGAATCCCAGATTAGCATACTAGCTAAGCAAGGTGCAGTTACTTGACTGGTCACTGCATACCCCACTCCCATCCTCTGCTCCCTGATTTTTATTCTGTTTCTCTCAGTACTTGTCAGTATGGGAATAATTAGGCTTTTGCTAATGGTTGGATGTGTGCTTCTGAGACCTTAACTATTGTGTCTATGGAGAAAAAGGTGAGCTTTTCATCTTTGCTAACTGTTATAGATGAGATTTAGAAGATCAGCAAGAAGAAACAAGAAAAGACAATCAAGATCATCAGATAAAATGCACAAAGGGAACTTCATCTCTGCCAAATGCCTTGCAGACTTGTGTCATGGGAAGGGCAAAGGGAAGGCACGAAAGAGCAAATGAAATCCGTTTTTCCCATGTCCAAAGGATGCCCAGGTGCTCAATTGTTAATCCTCCCCATCTAGGACTGATCTCTTCTAATGGGCATATCTGGAAGCAGCAAAGGCGGTTTGCCTTATCCACGTTGAGAAACTTTGGTTTGGGCAAGAGAAGCTTAGAAGAACGAATCCAGGAGGAGAGCAGATACCTAACTGATGCCATTGAAGAGCAGAAAGGTAAGCCCTGGGGATGCAGAGTCTGTCCAAGCAGCTCCTCCGTATGCAGTGAATGGGCATGCTGGGAATGACAGAACTTTCTACTGTCCAAGCACACATGGGATTGTCACCCAGGAGGCAAGTTTATTTGAAAATATGCAGGACATCGGATGTACTGCACTGCCCAGGGCTTCTTGCGCCAGCCACATTGAAATATTAATGTTTCAGGAAATGCCTCATTCTATTCAACTATTGCACAACTTTCCCCATATCGTAGCTCTATTATACAGGAGCTAACATAAGTCTAATATTCCCACTGGCACCATTGCTTTTTTCTCTCCAGGGCAACCATTTGACCCTCATTTCCAGATTAATAATGCAGTTTCAAATATCATCTGCTCCATCATTTTTGGGGACCGCTTTGAGTATTCTGATAATAAGTTCCAGAAGCTCTTGCACTTGATTGATAATACAGCAGACCTTCAAAGAAGTATTTGGATCCAGGTATGGAAGCTTAGTGATCAGATGGACAACCACAAA